GTTGTTATAACATGGCAGACACAATGGAGGTAAATGCCAAGACTGGATTTCTTATGGACAAAGGAGATTCCCAACTTAGATGACCAATCATCTAAAATCACTAAAATCAGTGTTAGGCAGAGAGAATACTGGCAACAAACCTACTCTGGAAGCCAAGGTTCATGGAGAAAGAACTAACATAGTGCTAGCAAGGAAAAGGAGGCTGGCAGCCTGACTTGTGATATCAGCCTCAAGAAAATAATAAGAACCTGATGTTCTCATCTCCCCCAAAGAGACTTTAAGGACAGCAACATAGAACAAGCTATTGTAAGCCTGCCTCCTGCCTTGTAGGTAGTGGTTAGAATGGTAGATACTGTAGAATAACGAATGGAACTCATCACTCCAAAGTTGCCCCAGCCTTCTCTCGTATGCCACTACTAGAGACCATGGGGGAATCTAGTGGTGCCCATGTTTTTCTGCTTTTAAGGAGGACACCTATATTTATAGGGCAGAATTGACATTTCCCAGAAAAGGGAGCCTGTGCAGTACATCCTATTGTTTATCTTTACCCTGCACAACCTCCTATTTCCAACAAAATATTCTACAATCATGGCCTAGTTAGCTACATGGACCAATGATGGCAGGTCTACAACCACACATTACCCAGGGAAATGTGTGTCCTATGACATAGAATGTAGATTAAGTTTCAACAGCACCATTAATCAAGGCAGTGAGTGATGGAGTTCAGCTTAGATGTCACACAATATTTCAGGCAATATGTTACTTCAATCCAATCCTTTCTTGGAATGACTTGAGCCAGAGGGACAACATTCATTTCATTTGCCATCTTGAAACCTAACTTCCTCAATGCTAGTTAGCCTGTTTTTCCAAGTAGATGCCATGAAGACAAACAGGGTTGTATTAACCCACAGGTGGGCTTTGGGAGGCTCAGGAAATGTATGCAGGAAACTATTATCCTCATATTGCTTTCCATGGTTGAACTGCTGTTGGCACTACTCTAGTTTCAGGACAGAGTTCTAGGCCAGTTGGAGGTGAGTGACAGCATTCTTTCAGTTTCCTACAGGCTTATGTCACATGTAGAGCTTTGAGGAGTAAGTAGCCACTATTAAGCAAAATGAATGAGATTGCAAACAGAAGAATCCAGCAAAGACTCTCAAAGGTACTGTGGTGGGTGTTGTTTGTCTGATATCTTTTGGTTTTATTTGGAAAGCAGATATGTCAAAAGATAGATTCACTGAGTGAGGGCAGCATTCTCCATTAGCTCAGGTCCATCCTTGATTGTAATACATCAATTTTAACAATCAGACATCATGTGAACTTGAATCAATTACAATAAAACAGCATTGTCATAAGGTTGTTATCTTCTTTCCTAACGATAGGACTTAGGGACAACACTGTGTATTGTCTAAGGTCATGTGAAATACCCTTGAAAAAATCTGGACACTCCAAGCCAATGTCTTATTCTTTGTATTCAGTCGTTAATTCAGCAGTGAATAAGCATGTATTATACAAGAAAGTTGTCCTATGTATACAGATCAGACAGCAAGCAGTGGCGTAGGGTCACCATGCTTTTGGTTGTGAACCTAAGAGTTTCCCCTGCTTTGTATACACATGGGCCCATACACTCCTCTTTCATAGAATATGACACTGGAGAATGGTCCTATGTAGTACTAACTTCACACATGCCATTTTCAGGCAAGCTGGTTGAGCCTTTTCTCCTTCTTGCTGTTCATCCTGCCTCACTGTTGCCATGGAGACTGAGACGCCTTCTGAGCTCTGTGCTTTATCTGGAGTCCAGCCTTCAAATACCTGGTACAGTTCAACCCACTCACTCCCCTGGCTCCTGAGACTGTGAAAGTATATAAGCTAGATTCTTTTAGTCAAATGGCCCAGGAGTCTCCTTGACACAATCTGTTGGTGATCTGAGAGTCCATGCTCAGATGCTAATGTGTAAATGGCAGCCTATGGTTCCATGGAGGCCCATGTATGCATATGTGTTATTTCTAGAAGAGAATATCTGATTTTAGTCCTTACAGCAAACAGAACTACGACAGCACTAGATGGATGCACAGGTGGGAGATGTCAGCACGGCCCCAGAGTGATGCAGGTCAAACCAGGGGGCAGGCCTGGTGAAGGGCTACAGGGAGACAAAATTGAGCTCAGACACAGAGAAGAGTGCCTAATATGGTGTTCTCCATTGATATAGTGTCTGGGTGTGGAAGTGGGTCTCTGAAAGCAGCCTTAACTCTCTTCTTCCTCCAGCCACCAAATAGCAAGCACAGTAGTTCCTTGGTCCTGGGCATCACCCAAAGCTATGAATAGATAGAAAAACTTTATAGCTCTGTTTTCTTACTCCCTTGAAAAATGCAGCAAATGCTGGATCCATGGGTGTCCCACCATGCTGCCTTCCCAAATGCCCCACCTGTACTGTAATATCCACTTCTCATCTCACTGACCATCTATTCTTCTTCACTCTTATTCTAGTTAGGCCATTTGCCCAGAATCATTGTTGGCTAAAATCTATGCATTTCATTAATTTTAAAACCAAATTCTGGCTTTATTCCCTCCCCAGCGAGTCAGAGATAAATTGGTGTTATTTGTGCAATCTCTAGAATATCCAAAGCCCTACCATAGCTCTTGCTTAGATATGGGACTTAAACTGCCAGAGAGACACACTGCAGCTTCCTTTGTTACTGAGATTACAAACTTAGAATAAGGGCTGTGGGTTTTCCAGTTTGAAAACCCCATCATCTTTCTTAGCTTGCTTTTTTCTTTTGTTTCCTGCCTCAGAAACCATGCTGTATTTTGTTGGACATAAAGACTGATCATATCCAGCCTCTTCTCTGGCAAGAATCACTCAGAGAAAATGCTCCACTCAGTGACCCCCCCACCATGGGGTCTAGAAAGATCTTTACTGGGCAGAAGCTCTGATTTTCTCACCATGTCTCCATCTCCCAGGTAACCTTGGGGCAATCTCAACACCTCCTACAGCCTCGTAGTTCTTGTGGCCTGCTTTATAGAATCATACACACTTTCTTTCCATTTCCAATGAACAAGAAGGCTTCCACTTCAAGCCTTTCCCACCGTAGGGTGCAGGTCTTTGTTCTTACCTCATCATCCATCCTCGGCAGGAGTAACACTCTCCCACAGTACTCTCTGGACTCTCTCTGCTACCATTCTTTTACTTACTGTCAAGACCTGACTTTGTCTGCTTGCCCAGTGAAAACCAAACAACATAAGGACACATTGCATTTTGCCTCCTATTTGAATTCTGTTCAATACAGAGTTCACCGTTTGCTGTTACAGCTGAACCACCTTCAAAGGAAATGCAGTAAGGGTGGGTTGAGAAGTCTTAGTAAGTTGTTGCATTCTGTTTGAAAAACATATTTGTATGTTCATATACTTCATGAGGTATATATAGTAGAAAGCCAGCCTCCAAAATGGTGTTCAATGTCCTGACCGCCCCCCCTCCCCCATAATTCTTGTACTGGATAGCTATATCCTACCCCAAAAAGAGCTGACATAGTCTGTAAGATATGAAAATCATGGTGTGGATAACCAATATATCTGGTCATAAAGACATATAGCTTATGTCTATTTCTTCTTTTATTCAGCCACTCCAGGTATACCCAGCCAACATATGAAATCACTCAAATAGAACACAGAGAGAGTGTTATGGGGAGGGACGGAAGCCTCCTACCAATATGATATCACGTAAGTATGACATCTTAGAATTATATCTGGCAACACCAGTCAATACTTTAGATGATTCAGTCCTGCCTAACGTGATGACTGAAAACTCACAAGAGACTCTCCCAAATCCCCAACCCACAGAAACTGTGAAAGATAATAAATGTTTATTTTGCTTTAAAATGTTGAGTTAGCCTTGAGAAAGCCTTCTGTTTCATGGCAATAGGTAATTACCACTAAGTGGAGACTTAGGGGCTAGTAACTCCAGGTTTGAGCTGATACAAGTGTCTCTAGGGTAGTTCTGTTTTTTTGTTTAACTGTGTAGCCCATCCCCCATTCTGCAGCAACTGGTTTCATTTTGACTCTGCAACTCTTAATAGCCAAAAATGCCACCTGTATCCTCAATAAACTTTATTTAGACACAAATAGACAACAGAAAATACATACACAGATACAGTTATCTTTTTATCTATAGGATAAACACACATCACAGGGAATTTAAAAAGTAGGAGCACAGAACATAACAAAGTAATGTGAAGTCCTTATTCACTCACACTTGAAATGGACACATATTTCAGAGGAAGACAGAAATGGAACATCCCAACAACAGGGTTCACATTTGGTCTATAACAGCACACAGGTGTTGGGAAGGTAATCGAAGGAGTCAGGAATCCAGTGACAGAATGCTTACAACACTAGTAGGACTATTTAAACAAAAGACAGAATCGTGGAGGATTCCGTACCCCTGCACAGATGCTCTGCAAGCTGCCAGCTAGGTCGTAAAGCAGTTTGGCAGAAACACTAGCTTAGCTATCATCTTGCAGCTTGAAGGTCTAAATGACCTCCACCTTTGTGCCCACATCACAGAGTTTTACAGAGACACACCGAGGATGCCGGAACTGCCCATATACACGCTGGCTTAGACACTCACAGTACAGAACATTGACATTGGGTATAAGATAGGACTTTTGAAAGAGAAAGAGTAACAGCCCAGAGGCAAACACACAAGTGCTACATCCATGGTAGTATTTCCCTCCATGCTGCCCGTGGTCCCTTCCCATGGGGAGCCACCAGCATTTGTGTCCCCATCATGTACAGAGTGGAACAGATGTGTCTTGGAGGTCTGTTACCCTATAAAGTCATAAATGTGACCGGCTGGGTCATCTCTGTGCCCAGGACATGCTGCCATGGAACCATCTTACTTATTTCTGATCCTGGGTAAGCCTCAGGACTCCACACCATCTTCACATTTCAGATTGGGGTTCCCTAGGCAACCTCTGTATTTTAGTAAAAAATTGTTTCCACTGTACCCTTCGTGTGTCCTCTTCCTAACGTGACAAATCCAGATGAGATGAAGTTATGGAGATCTGGTCCTCCACTTCGGTAAGCATCCTTCCCATAATGCCCTGCAAGAAGATGGGCAAAATTACCTGACGCATCCACGACAGCAACACAGAAGACAATCACAGCTCCATCTTGTCCAACAATGATGGTGTGCTTATGTTCAAACCGGCAGCTAAGCCACAAGGTCAAAAAGTATTATATATTATAATAAATATAATATATACACACATATATATTACTCAGAATATATTCTATATATATACACATTATTTACACACAGCTTATGTATGTATGTATGTGTGTGTGTATATATATATATATGTTGTTATGTGACAAAACTTAATGCTACGTTGAAAGTTGAAAGAGAAAGGGAGACACATGGTTTGACTGTGGCATTTCTGAGTGACCGCTAAGTACACCAGAATGTGCTTCAACTTACAGTAGATGCTCTTCAACTTACAGATGTTCTTCAACTTACAGTAGAGTTGCACCATCAACCCATGGAAAGTTGAAGCATCTGAAGTTGAAAAGGCTTGCTGAACATTGTAGCTTGGAAACACGGCACAATGGAGTGTCAGCTGTTTCCCCTGTGTTGCTGGGTCCCTGCTATTTATTGTTCATGGACACTACCCAGTATCACCAAAGAAGACCACACCACATCTTGGAAGCCCATGAAGAGATCAAAACTCCCAAATGTAAAATCATAGCTACTGGTTGAGTACTGTTTTTGTACCATCACGAGGTCCGACAAGCCAGACAGTGAATCAAGCTAAGTGAGGACCCACCATCCTTTCTTAAAGTTAGCAAGTATAGAGAAGATGATAAACTAAATAAAATGACAGGGCTGTAAAATTTTGAGCAAGTGCATTACAAAAAGATAGTAAAAGATTCAAATAGAATACATAGATACAGGCTGGAAAGGAAGAACTGTGGTTAAAAGCACCCATCTGCACCGACATAGCTCATAAACATCTGTAATTCCGGAGGGTCCAACATCCTCTCTGGGCCTCTGTAGCCAGTGCACACGTGTGGTGTACAGACAAGCAAAACACTCATACACATAAAAAAAAAACTTCAAAAAACATTTTAAAAACAGAAGATCTATAGATTCTAATAGCTCCCTTGGAGAGATCGGAGTATGAGGGCTACAGATCCCTCCTTTCAAAATGCCCAAGTTCCCGTCCATAATTACTAGGTGATTTTCCTTTGTTGTCTTGTATCTTTGTTTTCCTCCCTTCCAAAGAATAGAGGAAGGGGTCTGATGGAAGCTCCTATCTCTCGTGTTTATCTATGAATTATGCACAACCTGCAGGACCACAGACTACCAAGTCAAGAAAACCCAGCAAAAGTGGAGCTGGCAGGTGGAATGGTGTCTATAAAACACTGGCAACGTCTTTCTGTTTTCCTTTCTTGCCTTCCAGCAATAAAACTATATCCTCTAACTGGCAAGATACAGACATCTTCATATGCACTGAGGTAAGGAAAAGACAAGGGCAGGTTAAGGACTGTGAGAGAAAAAATTTAGAGAGAAAGAAGTAAATATTCTACTTCTGACATTCAAATAGGAATCTGTGATGTGCTTGAAACACAGACATCATAAATCCTGAAGAATTAACTCTGCTTAGAACCACCCTCACCATATATACATGAGCATAAAGGAAAGTCACTATGCATTCATACTGCCATAGTGTGCAACACAAATTGAACTCATAATAAATAAAGATAAGGTGTTTCTTAAAAAATTAGATTTTTAAATACAGTAACATTATAAAATTTCAAGTCAGTGCTTAAAAAAAAATAACACAGATGTGGAGAAAGGGGACCCTCCTCCATTGCTGTTGGGAGTATAAACTTGTACAACCGCTTTGGAAATCAATCTGGTGCTTTCTTAGACAATTAGGAATAGTGCTACCTCCAGATCCAGCTATACCACTCCTAGGCATATTTCCAAAACATGGTCAAGTATACAACAAGGACATTTTCTCAACCATGTTTGTAGCAGCTCTATTTGTAATAGCCAGGCTACGAAAACAACCCAGATGTCCCTCAGTTGAGGAATGGATACAGAAACTGTGTTATATTTACACAATAAAATACTGCAAAGCAATTAAATACAAGGCAATCATGAAATTTGCAGGCAAATGGTGGGAACTAGAAAAGATCATCCCAGAAGCAGAAAGACACACATGGTATATACTCACTTATTAATGGATATTAGACATATAACATAGGGTAAACATACTAAAATCTGTACACCTAAAGAAACTAAGTAAGAAGGATGATCTTGAGTGAGATACTCAATCTTCATTCAGAAAGGCAAACAGGATAGACATTGGAAGTCCGAGAAAACAGGGAACAGGACAGGAGCCTACCACAGATGGTCTTCGAAAGACTACCTAGAAGGGTATTGAAGCCGATGCCGAGACTCGTAGCCAAACTTTAAACAGAGTGCAGGGAATCTAATGAAAGAAGTGGAAGATAGAAAGACCTGGAAGGGACAGGAGCTCCACAAGGAGAACAACAGGACGAAAAAATACGGGCCCAGTGGTCTTTTCTGAGACTGATACTCCAACCAAGGACCATTCATGGATATAACCTAGAACCCCTGCACAGATGTAGCCCATGGCAGCTCAGTATCCAAGTGGGTTTCCTAGTAAGGGGAACAGGGACTGTCTCTGACATGAACTCAGTGGCTGGCCACAGGGGAAGACAATATAGCCAGTCCTGATGAGACCTGATAGCCTAGGGTCAGATGGAAGGGGAGAAGGACCTCCCCTATCAGTGGACTGTGGAAGCAGCATGGGAGGAGAAGAGGGAGGGCAGGATTAGGAGGGCATGAGGGAGGGGGCTACAGCTGGGATACAAACTGAATAAATTTTAATAAATAAAATAATAAATAAATAAAAAGAAAAATTAACAGCAAAAAAATGATTGAAATAAAACACATGCCAGGGTTGGTGGTGCACACCTACAATCCCAGCACTCTGGGAGGCAGATGCAGGTAGATCTCTGTGAGTTTGAGGCCAGCCTGGTCTACAAAAAATGGGTCTAAGACAGCCAAGGTTTCTTTTCATCAAGGGGAAAAAAAAAGAAATAAAGAAATAAAATAGAAGTATCTTATCAGGCAAGAGTGAATTATTTCTCTTTTTAATTATTATTTTGTAAGGTCTTTTTCTATAGTGAACACACAATTCTCTAATACAAACATAAAAATAAACACCTAGAAAAATATATCCCATGCCAAGAAAACAAAATTGGTTTTTCTTAGCAGGGCATGTTCTGGAGACCTCAACACAGAGTAACTTGGGAATCGTGTGGAACTTTGTAAAGTTCAGATGTCCGGACAAGCTTCAAACATTCTGACTCAGTCAGAGACCAGTCAGGCAGGGGTATTTAGACAAGCTCCTTTGGCTTCTAGTGGACAGCCAGTGCAGAGAACTACTGCCCCAGAGCAAGTGGAAACAACTCAAGCTAGAGGCTTTATGTGAGCAGGTAAGGTCACTGACCATTTGCTGGGGTCCCCTTAGGTGCTATTTACAGTTAGGAACCCAGCACTCTTCCTTTGCAAAGTGAAGTCAGTCCCCAGTTCTTTCCTTCTTATCCCAGTTCCCAAACTAGTGTGTATCAGAATATAAGAAACATTTTAAATAGATGGATTCAGGATAGAGGAGACAGGAATCGCGAGTTTGTGGTTCTGTCATCATCCCTGGGTCAGAGATAACAAAACCATGAGCATCCTGCCATCGAGTCCCTTGACTCTAAAGCACATTACATCATTCACTCTTGAGCTTTTCACAGTGGAAATTCTTGTTGGAAAACTGTGGTAACAATTCATAGCTTCCATGGCATTGCCAGTGCAGAACTGAAGGCTTCTGCCCAAATCTCAAACTATATGACAGCTGCCAGCAGCTGGAGAAACCATCTTTCCCAAGAGAAGAAGCGGTGCATGGAAAAGGTGCACATTACTGACCAAAGGCGCGTCAGGATCCCCTCTTCCATAGCAAGCACAGTTGTTGTTCCCTTATCCCATCACAGAAAGGAAGAAATAATCCAGAGCCTCGTAAATCTGGACCTCATTAATTCAGAACCTACGATGCATCCTGAAGAATTCGGGCTGCTTTATTTTTGTGCTCCTTATAAATAAAAATTTTGATAAACAAATCAATACTAAGGAAGATGGAACATAAAACAGAGCCTGTGCTGTTTACAAATCATTCTTACCTGCCAGACAAACAAGGTCTCTTGGGACTAAGCATAACTCTAGTACTCTAGGGCTCTGCTTGTCTGAAAGTGAACTGAAGTTTCTGGATCACTGCAGGCGAGGCAGAGAGATGGAGACTCTGCAAGCATGGCTTTTGACATAACAACAGATGACATTTTATAGTATTTTATAGCTTACACAGATTTTTTTGCATATACTAGATTCTTAACATTTTAATCAATACTGGTTGCAGGTCATTTATTTTGCTTATTATTTTAATATTATCTCCAGTTTTATTGCTGGAAAAACTGAGGCCAACAGGCAAAAGCTGGGAGACACCTAAGTCTGTACTTGTATTAGTCTTCTGACTGTATATACTATGCTCATTCCACTATGGATACCTAGCTTTGCCAACACCTCATAAAAACCCAGGTTCCTAGAGCTGGTCAGCAGTGCATCTTTAATGTCACCCATGTCTGGTACCTTCCAAGTCCAGTCTTTCTGCAGCCCTCACCCCAGTGGCCTGAGCAGTGACTCTTCTCTAAGACTGTACCCAAGACAAATAGTGGAAATGTAAGGAGGAAAATTCTAGGACGTAACATCCAAGTTCATGGAAATCAATTTTGAGTGGGGGAAAAAATAAATGGTGTGTTGATAGCTAATGAGGCAGGACCAGGAACACTGTACAGGTTGAAGGAATTCTGGGGTCAATTCAGTTTGCCGAATTTTGAGTTAAACAAATTGAAAAGCTTTGTGAAAACCAATTGTACTGATTCCTTTTTTGTCTGTCTTAAAACAGGGCCTCATTATGGAGCCCAGTTTGGCCTCAAAGTCCCTACACTCCTACATCAGCCTACCAAG